AACTACAAAAAAAAAAAAAAAAGGTTGAGGAATGAAGATGAAGGTGCAGTGCAGCAGGGTATATATAATAAAAAAACAGAGGAAATTAATTAAAGGGGACAAAAATAATAAATAAAATGAAAAAATAAAATACAAATTGTGGGTCTTTTTTCTAGTCAACTTTCAAAATTATGTCAATATGATTTAGGTAATAAAAAAAAAAATTAAATTATTTAATGAAAAAACTGCCCCACCGCCTAAAGGGGGTCTAAATTAAAAAAGGTGTATAGATGTTTTTATTGACTTCATACTGACGCAGCCCAAGAAAGTGATGTCTTGTAAGTCGCCATGTAGTACGTGTTGTGTTTTAATGAAAAATGAAAAATTATGAGAAGTAAAAAAAAAAGATTTTGATTTAGTGTAGGTAAATAAATTTAGTAAAATGCTACGGTCCCGTTATAGAACTATTTTGTTGAGATTTATAACCGTTAGATCATTATATTGCCGTCAGATATAGTTGATTTCACGGTTACATACCTCAACGAAATGGTTCCGTAACAGAACCGTAGCATCTCTCTGTAGATTAAAAATTTGAATAGTGGTGACCGAGCTAGACTCTATCAATTTATAAAGAAGAGTTATTACCATTTAATATATATACTATACTATCTTATATATTTACATAATTTCCACACTTTTTTTTTTTCAACTTCATCATCTCTATCTACAAAACTAATAGCTAAAACTATCTACTTGTAAGTTTCTTTATTATTATCAACAAGTATAACTAGTGAGGGAAAAGTTTCCATTGACATAGCATAGAAGTGTAAATTGATTTTTAGAATTTGACTAAATTAGTAATTTGTAGGGTGGTGAAATTGTCATATTTTTAATGATATATTGTAAATTATTACATCTATTTTTTTTTAATTTTAATGTAATATTTAAACCTACAATATTTATTGTGAAGTATTTTTATTGAAACAAACAATTAGCACTCATGTAATACACTAGTGTTGTATTCTATTAGA